AAGCTTTTGCAAGTTAACTGGTGACATCGGGTCACCGTGTTTGATTATCGGAGGGCAGTTGTATCCAGACTGTCCATTCATGTTTTCCCCAGATATGCAATGCCTTCCACATTCCCCGGTCGAAACGAGCACCGCGCAGGCGCGGAAGCTCTTCAACAAACGACGCACCCGGAGCATCTTGAGAGAAATGGCGCAGCTTGGTCATATGGCTTTGTCTCAAAAATGAGGTACAAAAAAAAACAGCTATCTATCTCTTAGATTATATTAGTATATCACCATGGGTACATATATATATATATATTTTTTATGCATGGTTAAGCCAGAAGAATGAGAATTTCATGGCATTGATAGTTGATTTGCTGGGGTAAATGGATGTAAATGGCGATCGCAATAAATAATAAATGGACATAGTTATTTATTGACCCTTTGGTTATTTAAGAACTGGACATTTTACAAATTTAAGAACCGTAGATTACCATGTTTATCATCTAGTTTTTATAGGCCACGGCTTCCATAGCTATGTTACATAGCCAGATGGTAAATCACAATGTCCAATTTCAAAACAACATAAAAACAACTACTAGTACTTGGGGGGCATACATTTAAATATACAGTAATTATATATATAGTTGTGAATCACAACCATATTTCGGGATCCTGATTCAAGGCTGCTGTATTTGAATCCATGTTAGGAAAGAATGCCCGTTTTTTGTGACCATCCAACAAATCTCCATGAAGAAACGCTTGTAAAAGTTGAGATGAACCATTCGCCGCATTGATCACATTGTTTGTTATGTGCCACGTCTTTTTGACTGCCCACTGTCTGTTTGGCAAACTGGAGGACTGTAGACATGAACAGAGATATAAAATTAGATAAATGAATAAAGTATATAAATATGTCAAACACGTACGTAATAAATATGTATTATGTATATATATAATTATATATATATATATGCATAAATAAATAAATAATTAAATATAAATACATAAACATATATATATATATATCAGAAATGATTTATATCATTTATGAGCTCCGATCTCCCTCTCTCTCTCTCTCTCCCCCTCTCCCCCTCTCTCCCTCTCTCTCTCTCTCTCTCTCTCTCTCTCTCTGGCTGTCTACACCTCTCGTGATGCACAACTTGATCCAGTTGGCCAATTCTCTTCTTGTGCCAGGTCCGGTGTTGCCACAACAATTGGTTTCTTCAAAATGGAGTAGGACGTCAAACCGCTTGCGCAGCCTGAGGTTCAAAGAATTCTTGGCTGAACATGACTTCCCTTCCGATGACGTCAACGAGCCACGATACATTGATGCTGGGCACCGCTGGTTTGGCCTTCTCACCCGATACGAAACGGCACCTTGGAGAGCGTCAGAGCTGTTGATGGTGGATGTGGTACGCTTCACGTAGAAACTGGTTATAACTGGTTAGTAACTTTATAAATGGAATAACCCGGATAACCAGCAAAAAGGAGACTTTCAACCCTTTGGTGTCAACGAACTCAACGAGGTCTCAAAGTGGGGATCCAAGGTGTCCAGATGGTGTACGCCGAAAAAGGCGGATTTCGTCCAGTTCATGTGGGTTCTCCTGGTCAACTTTGGTTTGGTATCTGCGTGGTAGCTAATTCATTGTTGCCATGAATTGAATTATCTATGACTATATATAATTACCCACAGACACCGTGTGTTGCCCAAGCCCAGAATAGCGTAAATTCCAAATATTTTTTGTTCACACTATACATCTCATATAAATTCTCCCACCCCCGTTAAACTTCTACAATAAGGGTTTAATTCTCCCACCCCGTTAAACTCTTCCATTCATTGAAGTTCTTCAATACGGGTTTAATTCTCCCACCCCCGTTAAACTCTTCCATTCATTGAAGATCTTCAATAAGGGTTTAATTCTCCCACCCCCGTTAAACTCTTACATTCATTGAAGATCTTCAATAAGGGTTTAATTCTCCCACCCCCGTTAAACTCTTATATTCACTGAAGATCTTCATTAAGGGTTTAATTCTCCCACCCCCGTTAAACTTCTACATTCATTGAAGATTCTACAATTCACCAAAATAAATAAGTACCCTAGATCAGCTGGGTTTAGATCAGAAGACTTTGTGAACCCCCATGCGCATAAATAAATTCAAAATAACTTAAAAACGCATTAAAAAACACTTTTTCACATATTTAAGCATGTTATCCCATTAAAACGCATTTTTTTAAATCATTTTGTTCATTTTATCTCATTTTATCTCATTTTTTATTTGGTTGGGGTACAAATGGGTATATACAAATATAAATTGGTGGATTATATATTATCTGAGGGACATGTGATACCAAACGTGTTATTTCTGGTGATTTTTTGAGTTCATTAATCACATCTTTATATTTTCAGTGTTGTGTGCATTTCTGGTAGGTAACCTTAATAAATAATCTAAAATGTCTCTGTTTATACTTCCATCTTTTCCACCCGTTCCTGATATATAAATAAAGTGTCTTGCCTGTCTTATATAATCCCGATGGGTTTCTGTATGCATTTGTCAATCCGTGTCTGTCTTCTGTTGTTTTTGTGTTGGCTATGTTCCTTTCTTCTTTATACAGTGTTGTATTTTGTCTGAATTGCTCATTAAGATTTCTTGCAAAGTTGTTCATCTTCTCATCTAAGTCTCTTTGTTTCTTGTCCGTGTCGTTCATCAACTCTTCTCTTCCTTGACGCATTAATTCATCAAATGCTACTCTACCTATTCTTTTTGCGAATAATCTCATCTCTTCTCTTGTTAATACAGTTTCTATTGCTTCACCTCCCATAATTCTCTGAACAACCTCTCTCCCAAACTGCCTTCCCACCTGTCTCAATGCATTAGTCATTGCTATTCTTCCAAGTCCTGCTACAACTCCAATCATTTATTTTTATATTAATGTTTGATAAAAAATCATTTCTAATAATAGATCCAATCATGAGTCATGAGTAATAGATCAACATATAAAACTATTTTTGTAGATAGTAAGTATCGCAATGCTCAATCAAAATCTTCATCTGACTTTTCAGTGGAGTTAAACGAAAACTCAGAAACACCAGAGGAAACAAAACTCTATGTAACTGATATTTCTCTTCCAGCGGTGTGGAAATCTACAGAGGTGGGCTTCTATGAATATATTTATGTTATGGTCATCATTGCCAACGGGTTCAGCAAAGGAAGCTGCTGCGTCCTGCGAATCCCTGAAAGGCAAATGACTGCAGCAATAAATTCAACAATCACATGCAATATATAATCAAAAAACATGAAAAAAAACAAAAAACATTTTTTGGGGGGTTTTGCACCTTTATTCCCCACCTGCCAGGTGAGGGTTGTTAGATTTTATGTCAGTTGCCTCCTCCTCCTTCTCCTCCTCCTCCTCCTCCGCCTCCTCCTGCCTCGTCCTCCTCTCCTCCTCCTCCTCGTCCTCCTCGTCGTCCTCGTCGTCCTTGCTCAACTGCGACCTGCGATCCACAGTGTTCTCTGCCGGACCTCAACCACGACCATCCACGCCCAGTGTTCCCTGCCGGACCTCAACCACGACCATCCACGCCCAATGTTCCCTGCCGGACCTCAACCACGACCATCCACGCCCAGTGTTCCCTGCCGGACCTCAACCACGACCATCCACGGCCAGTGTTCCCTGCCGGACCTCAACCGCGAGTATCCACGCCAAGTGTTCCCTGCCGGACCTCATGTAGGAAGATATGGGACAAAGAATGTGCAGAAGAAAGTTAGAAAGAATGTCAGAAAGAATGTCAAAGATATGCCAGAAGATATGCCAGAAGATATGCCAGATAGAATGCCAGATAATATGCCAGAAGATATGCCAGATAGAATGCCAGATGGAATGCCAGAAGATTTGCCAGATAGAATGCCAGAAAATATGCCAGAAGATATGCCAGATAGATATGTCAGAAGATATGCCAGAAGATATGCCAGAAGATATGTCAGAATATATGCCAGAAGATATGTCAGATAGAATGCCAGAAGATATGTCCGAATATATGCCAGAAGATATGCCAGATAGAATGCCAGAAGATATGTCAGATAGAGTGCCAGAAGATATGCCAGATAGAATGCCAGAAGATTTGCCAGATAGAATGCCGGAAGATATGCCAGAAGATATGCCAGATCATATGCCAGAAGATATGCCAGATAGAATGTCAAATAGAATGTCAGAAGATATGTCAGATAGAATGCCAGAAGATTTGCCAGTAAGAAAATGTATAAATGTCATGGTGGGGATCACACGAAGTAAAGTAATTTTTTCATGCTATCATCAAGTTTGAGATTTTTTGAGATTGTTTGAGATTTTTTGTTCCCCACCTGCCAGGTGAGGGTTGTTAGATTTTATGTCAGTTGCCTCCTCCTCCTCCTCCGCCTCCTCCTGCCTCGTCCTCCTCGTCGTCCTCCTCGTCGTCCTCCTCGTCGTCCTCCTCGTCCAACTGCGACCCGCGATCCACAGTGTTCTCTGTCGGACCTCAACCACGACCATCCACGCCCAGTGTGCCCTGCCGGACCTCAACCACGACCATCCACGCTCAGTGTTCCCTGCCGGACCTCAACCACGACCATCCCCGCCCAGTGTTCCCTGCCGGACCTCAACCACGACCATCCACGCCCAGTGTTCCCTGCCGGACCTCAACCGCGAGTATCCCCGCCCAGTGTTCCCTGCCGGACCTCAACCACGACCATCCACGCCCAGTGTTCCCTGCGGGACCCCAACCGCGAGTATCCACGCCAAAAGATATGCCACATAGAGTGCCAGAAGATATGCCAGATAGAATGTTAGAAGATATGCCAGATAGAATGCCAGAAGGTATGCCAGATAGAATGCCAGATAGCATGTCAGCTAGAATGCCAGAAGATATGCCAGATAAAGTGCCAGAATGTTTGCCAGATAGAATGCCAGCAGATTTGCCAGATAATATGCCAGAAGATATGCTAGATAGAATGCCAGATGGAATGCCAGAAGATTTGCCAGAAGATATGCCAGAAGATATGCCAGATAGAATGCCAGATGGAATGCCAGAACATCTGCCAGAAGATATGCCAGGTAGAATGCCAGAAGATATGCCAGAACATCTGCCAGAAGATATGCCAGAACATCTGCCAGAAGATATGCCAGGTAGAATGCCAGAAGATATGCCAGAACATCTGCCAGAAGATATGCCAGGTAGAATGCCAGAAGATATGCCAGATAGAATGCCAGATCGAATGCCAGAAAATATGTCAGATAGAATGCCAGAAGATTTGCCAGTAACAAAATGTATAAATGTCATGGTGGGGATCACACGAAGTAAAGTAATTAAACATAATTTACTTTTTTGCGAGATTTTTTGAGATTTTTTGATTTTTTTAAAGATTTTTTGAGATTTGTTATTTGTTTTGATTTCTTTCTTGTGATTGTTTCATGTTTTAATCACAGTTTACCATAATATTACCTAAGTATACCCTAATATTTTGACTAATGTATCGCCATTGAAGACCACAACATAAATATATTCATAGAAGCCCACCTCTGTAGATTTCCACACCGCTGGAAGAGAAATATCAGTTACATAGAGTTTTGTTTCCTCTGGTGTTTCTGAGTTTTCGTTTAACTCCACTGGAAAGTCAGATGAAGATTTTGATTGAGCATTGCGATACTTACTATCTACAAAAATAGTTTTATATGTTGATCTATTACTCATGACTCATGATTAGATCTATTATTAGAAATGATTTTTATCAAACATTAATATAAAAATAAATGATTGGAGTTGTAGCAGGAGTTGGAAGAATAGCAATGACTAATGCATTGAGACAGGTGGGAAGGCAGTTTGGGAGAGAGGTTGTTCAGAGAATTATGGGAGGTGAAGCAATAGAAACTGTATTAACAAGAGAAGAGATGAGATTATTCGCAAAAAGAATAGGTAGAGTAGCATTTGATGAATTAATGCGTCAAGGAAGAGAAGAGTTGATGAACGACACGGACAAGAAACAAAGATACTTAGATGAGAAGATGAACAACTTTGCAAGATATCTTAATGAGCAATTCAGACAAAATACAACACTGTATAAAGAAGAAAGGAACATAGCCAACACAAAAGCAACAGAAGACAGACACGGATTGACAAATGCATACAGAAGCCCATCGGGATTATATAAGACAGGCAAGACGCTTTATTTATATATCAGGAACGGGTGGAAAAGATGGAAGTATAAACAGAGACATTTTAGATTATTTATTAAGGTTACCTACCAGAAATGCACACAAAACCGAAAAGTATAAAGATGTGATTAATGAACTCAAAAATCACCAGAAATAACACGTTTGGTGGATTATGACGATGGCCATGTGCATATGGTTTTAGACAATAAAAATCAATGTTCTTTGTTTTTTTCATTTTTCCATTTTTTTCATATTATATCATTTTCCTTCGGTTTTGTTCGTTTTTATCATCTTACTGTTGGTTAGAGATTTGTTTCCGATCTAGACCCCTCCGATCCAGGGTACTTATTGAGTTTAGTGAACAATAAGGGTTTAATTCTCCCACCCCGTTAAACTCTTCCATTCATTGAAGATCTTCAATAAGGGTTTAATTCTCCCACCCCCGTTAAACTCTTACATTCATTGAAGATCTTCAATAAGGGTTTAATTCTCCCACCCCCGTTAAACTCTTATATTCACTGAAGATCTTCATTAAGGGTTTAATTCTCCCACCCCCGTTAAACTTCTACATTCATTGAAGATTTTCAATAAGGGTTTAATTCTCCCACCCCCGTTAAACTCTTACATTCATTGAAGATCTTCAATGAGGGTTTAGTTCTCCCACCCCCGTTAAACTTCTACTTTCATTGAAGATCTTCAATGAGGGTTTAGTTCTCCCACCCCCGTTAAACTTCTACATTCATTGAAGATCTTCAATAAGAGTTTAATTCTCCCACCCCCGTTAAACTCTTACATTCATTGAAGATCTTCAATAAGGGTTTAATTCTCCCAACTCCGTTAACCTCTTACATTCATTGAAGATCTTCAATAAGGGTTTAATTCTCCCAACTCCGTTAACCTCTTACACCCATTGAAGATCTTCAATCATCATCACCATCATGGACCATCATCATCATCATCATCATCATCATCACCAACATGCCGGGAACGTCCCTGTAAAGCTCCGGGCAACACAAGGCGTCTGGCCGTATAATTATATATATATATGTGTGTATATAATATTTATAATATAATATAATATAATGTAATATAATTTAATATGAAACAATATAATATAATAAATAATAAATAAATAAATTAAATTAATTAATAAATAAATTAAATAAATATTATGTATTATATATATATGCTGATTGCAGTATGTCAATGTACCACCCCTCCTATGTTGATCATGATAAAACAACCACGCCTGGACCTTTCAAGGGGTTGGATGAATGATGAATTTTAACTGTGCCAGAAGACCGGCCTTGGCGCCAAGGTGTATCCAGTGCACGTTGCTGCGGCCCTGGGAAATCACGAAATGCTTCGCATGCTGCTGAGAGCCGGCGCCAATCCAAACCAAAAGACGTCCAAAGGCAGGGGATTTGGGGATGGTCCCTGGAGCAGGTACCGGAAATGAGCTCCGTTATTTATGGTGCCCAAGACGGAGCCCTCACATGCCAACTTAAAATACCTTTACTGAGTAAAATGAGGTTCTAAACCTTAAGTTTGTTTTGTGTTACATATTTTCAGACCAAACCAGGTGATGAAATTAGAAGGACTTGACATACCCCACAGTAATCAAATGTGCAATTGAAAATCCCCCAAACGGAGGCTTGAATGGGAAGAACGCATGTATAAATGGATGATTTTCCAGCAAACCATGTTTGATTTCCAGAGGGTACCAGCAAGTGGAGTTCAGGGCGATGTGGATCACATCAACAGGGAAAGATGGGTCATGTTATGTCGTGATTTGCCATGTTTTACCTCGTTTCCTTGTATTTTGGGACCAAGACAGCCCATCCACCGAAAATCCTTGGCCCTTCGTTCCGGTTCGCAGCACGCAGCTCAGGCAGCACCGCCTTGGACTTTGCCCAGATCGCCAACCGAGATGGCTCCCACGATCAAGTCTTGGCCCTTCTGAAGAGTCCAGTCCTTCGGTCCCAACGGAGATTCAGTGATTTTTTGGCAAATAACATCGGTTAATATGGTTGTTAGCGGTGCTTGGCTAGCGATTGGGTGTATGGTATATTCCATGATGGGGCTATATACCAACTTCGAAGTTGTTGGGCCCTTCCTGTGTGTTGTTGGATGATGTTTGCATGAATTTTTGTATTGCAAGGGGGTGCCCCACGCGTTGGCTCAGTTGCTTTATTAAAGGTTTATTCTAGATGCAGTATTTCTAGATACCGAACGCATGAGCGGGTATGTTCAACAACCAACTTCATTTCTGCAGGTTTTGTGCCAGTTGAACATCGAAGTCGAATAATTGGTTTATATAATTCACTTGTAAGTGGTAGAGGCCCCTGCTGTAGTATACTGTAAGTAGGTAGAGGCGTTCTTGTTTGAAAAAATAAGGTACACCAATTTTGGCGCAGACGAAATTTTGATGGTTGATCATCACTTTGACCCTCATGTTTGAATGGATTGTTCATGGGGAAATTTACAATAAACCCTGGCTTTTACATCATGTGACACCCCAAATATACATAGATAATCATAGATATACGGTGGATCCCTTCCTGTTCTGAGATCGTTACCTAGCCGCTCTAGCCAGAATTTGTGTTTTTACCGCTGCAAGCTTTTATTTCCATATACTTTTTAGCCAATTCTCTTTCTCCCTCCAAAATGTCTCTGCAGCAGGGATTTGTTCAGTACGAGCTCTGCTGAGGTCAAGCTCCTGCGAGCGCGGGACGTACTGAGTTTGAAGGCCCTGATTCTACGCGTCTACGCATGACTGGCAACTGAACATTGTTGAGTTTCTACAATTTTAATCGATATGATTCGTAATTTATTGGTAAGATTTCATAAGTATCCATCCTTTTCATAGTTACCCAAGCCGGTTCATACCTCCGATAACTACACTATAGATCACTATAGGGCTGAATGCTTATTATGAGATATCATGATATATCTACACTTAATCGGGGTTGTAAACAAACTCATAACCAGGGGCGCACCGGCGCACCACCTTCTATGATACTTGCAGTGCTGGTCAGGTAGAGTTATGTCCTCACTTACTGGGCTTATCACCATGATTTAAGCCATCAATAACCCCAACTGCACCCCCAAGTCAGGTTAAAATGAGATCAGCAAAATAATATATAGCAACTGGATGCTAGGGCCCCAGCAGTTCGGATGGCCAACCAAACCTCGCCGGTGATGACTATCTGGTGAAGCGTCGATGGCATTTTGTTTTTTCCTTCCTTTCGGAAATCAAACGTGGCAACGGAACATCCCTCGTTTATACATGGATGTCCCCTAATTGAAACCGCCAATTTTTTGCGGGATCTCCGAGTTGCCATGTTACATGCCATGTTGGGTTGCCCAGGGTATCCTTTCCTATCCAGCCGTGCAGGTTGTTAGCCCGACGGAAGCAAAGAAGGAGAGCTTTAAGAACTTGGGGCATGGGCGATGAGAGGGTGGGTTTGCGATTTGCTTCATCATACGCCCACACTCATTTACTATAATATGGTCATGATGGTCAAGTATATGTCATGCATGTGTATATATATATATCTATCTATTTATTTAACTGTACACATAACTGTACACATACGTATATAATTATATAATTATATAATAATATAACCACATTTTCCCAGATGCTCCATTTGCATCCGTTTGCATCGTGTAAAAGTGCCAGTGAACTTCACCAGGAACTGCCGCTGTCAAGGGACAGACGCCACGCGCTGTGATCGCTGGAGGCTTCACACGCAATGGGGCTTCACAAGCAATGCGGCTGGCTTGGACACCAGGTCCGAGTTTTTCCCCGTTTTTCCCTGCCGGTGAAAGCTAGGAGGTTCAGCCTGCAAGTATGCAGTGCAGACCTTTTTTTGCGGGCAAAGGTTTGGTGAAGAGCAGATTGTCCTGGAGGTGAAAGGTTTCATTTTGGGCAACTGCCCATTTATTTAAATTGCATCCCGCTCAACGCGAACCTTGCCTCCAATTTCCTCAACTTCATTCACTGCCTGAAGAGGGTGGTGCTTTTCTCCCTGAAGGTTGGATTTAAGGTCCTTCCTTTGGAGTCAAAGGACACAGGAGAGGTCCTGACCGTTTTTGCTTTCTTTGTCATGGTCGACCGTGAGGATCACCCCCGTGGTTGGTGGTTTCAAAGTGCCAACGATGGCCGGTGCACATTCCGACATTTCCAGAATTTCAATGCACGCCGTCCCTTGGAAAACTGGAGGCTCAACTGGGCACTCTGGGTTTGAGGATGTGACTGAACGGAGCGTCCCAATCATGGTGCGGGGGCAGTTCCAGTGACCTGTGTCTACTTCAAAATCCCATGGTTTGTCATCATATTTAGATGACAAATGATGACAATAACGTATCATAAAACAATAGAAAGCATATATCTCCGATCTTGAGACAAGGCCGCATTTGCTTGTTGCAGTATATTCGTACTGCAATAGCTGGTTTAGAACTTTGTCAAGGCGTTTGGATGCACCAGTCCACTCCAGATGGGACCAGCTCATCGGTGTGGTCTCCAGATTGTGGCCCTCCCGCCAAGGGAAAAGTCAGTCAAGTCAGAGTAGTCCTGATTTCTGATGTGGCTACGCCTCAAAATGATCAACACCCCTCTTTTTTGGCACAAATGTGATCAATGTTGATTTTAATCAATCTATATCAATCTTATGGGTCCAGCGGTGCGCTAATGTTGAGCCATGTTGAGCATGTTGAGCCATATCCAAAAAAAATGCAGCTTGCCGCAAGGCAAGTCGTCAGGTTCTGGCTGAAAATGGGGAGCTGGTTGAGACTGCTGCCAAGATTCAAGTTTGACATTCTATGACCAGTCTTGTTGGGTTTTATCATGTTTTATCGCTTGTAAGGTGTAAAGTTGTTGAGTGACCCTTCCTGTGCTTGGAGATGCACGAGATACATTCTATTTCAATATGCTTGAACTCCCTGTAAATATCAGTGTTTTAGAGCTGTCGAAAAGTCAAGGCTAGATACCGTGCAGATCGCCTCGAAATACAATCTATGTTCAGGAGATGATTGGATCAACATGACGATCCAATGCAAAAACATTACCGTATGCCATTTCTGGACCCTGAAGACTGTATTATCCAACATAATTTTGACAGGACGTTCTTTCTGTGTTAATCCCACCTAGTCGAGGGAAGTTTTAGAAGTCAATCTTCCGACAACATGGACAGATGAAAAAGCAGAGGTGGGAAGAGTCAGAAAAGAGAAGAGAAGAGAAGAGAAGAGAAGAAGAAACAAGATCACAGAAGAGAAAGAGTCAGAAGAAAGAAGATGCAGGTGTTTTTCCAATGATTTGTGGCTCCAGAGGGTCGAAAAGTAGGCTCGCTAAAGCGGCGGGTGCGGAGCCAGCTGGCCACATGTGAGATGAAAAATTGCACGCTGTTGTGGCGCGAAGCAATTTTCAAAGTCAAAATGCTCAAAACACCTCATGCCCGGAGCACTTTTGGAAGTCGACATGTCGAAAAAGTGCGCGCTGTTGTGGCCCGAAGCACATTTCGAAGTCAATATGTATAAAGCACACCAGTCTCGGAGCACTTTAAGTTAGGATGTGGTTTTGTGTGGCAGGCGCCCGGGATTTTGCACCTTGTCAAAAATGAGTCAAAGGTGGAGGTTTTGCAGCAGTTGCAAAAGCGATGGCAGGTGTAGGGCATTTGAAGAGGATCCGCAATCATGCATTTTCCGTGGCAGGGCCAGTGCAAGACACATGTTCAGCGGAAATGTTCAGAGGTCAGGGCGCTGATTTCCTGAGAGGGGTTGCATTTTGGAGCATCAAATCTTCAGGTTTGCTAAGATGATTTCGCGGAACAGGCGCGCACTTCGTATGACTTGGCATCACTTTTTCGTGGCAGGTGCAGTACTTTAGACAGATAGAGTGGAAACATATCAAAACGCATTGGTACGAGGACGTCAGCTCTGCGCTCAACTTTCCATTTTTGAAGGAAGTCTCGCAGAATTGCTTTGTTTGTGATGTTGTCAACTTCGAAAATTGAGGAAGTCTCGCGGAATTGCTTCGTTTTGGATGTTGTCAACTTCAAAAATTGAGGAAGTCTCGCAGAAATGCTGCGTTTTTGCTGTTGTCGAATTCAAAAAATGAGGAAGTCTGGCAGAATAGCTTCGTTTTCAAGCTACTAATTCCACAACTACAACGATAGCTACAACTACACTACTTTACACTTTACACTACCCTACACTAGACTACACTACACTATGCTGCACTACAGTACACAACACTACCACTACAGTACACGACACTACACTACATTGCACTAAACTACTTACACCACACCACAACTACAACTACAACTACACCACGCTGCACTACACTACGCTAATTACACTACACTACAACTACAACCATAGCTACAACTACACTACTTTACACCACCCCACACTAGACTACACTACACTATACTTCACTACAGTACACAACAATACAGTACACTACATTACACTAGATTACACTACACTAATTACACAACACCAGAACTACAACTGCAACTGCAACTACACTACACTAGTTACACTACACTACCACTACAATTGCACTACACCACACTACATCCAGCAGTTGTGGGTGAGGTGTCCACTGCAACCATTGCAATCACTCCAAATTTCACAACTCCAACCACCTTTCGGTCCATCAGTGGATTCGCTCTGCCATTCGTGGTTCACAACAACCAACCTCTCCTATAGGTTTCCTATCTTTGAAACTTCCGCCACCGCCTGGTGCGGCACTACTGGTATCAAATATATACTTCCTAGAAACACTGGTTTGGTATTGGGTTCATTCTGGTGTCTTTTTTGCAGGTGTTGAATATCATTACTTCGTCACTATTGTTTGGTCGTTCAAAAGACAACCTTTGGCCCGTCCCAAAATCGAGGAGATGGCAAGTGTTGGCAAAACATGAGCATTTGTGAAATCAATGAGATTTGGGGCAGCCTTTTTCCTCAGACAAGTACAAGATGGGGGGAAGTCCCGAAAATCTAAAAGTTCTTCTAGGAGAGTGGCAACTACATCCCAACAACGATCTCCAGCGTCGTGCAATGGGTGCTGAAAACCGTGTATAACTGTGTAAGTATTTCCTACTTGGACATTGATGTCTTGGGTTACATTTTAATACATACAAATTTTACTTGAATAATTGTAGTGTCTATCGTTTCTTCATGCAAGATGCCCAGTTGACTTTTATAGATCAAGGGCGGTTCAAAGCACCGGAATGGTGTCAGCCTGTGTCAGCATTCAGCAGCCTATGGGAATTCAACCAACCAGAACCAGACCAATAATACAAAGATTTGCCCTTGTAAAAGTGGTTGTTAGAGGTCAAGGTGAGCCTGATCCGGATGCCCGAACATGGTTCGAGTGTCACCGAACTGGGGTGTTAAACCAGTATGTCCCGTTGTATCCCCATTTTATGGCGTAAAACTGTTGGTTGTGTGCCTCCCGCTTTTGCTGGTTGATTCAGCACGTGCAGCCACTTGCAGGGCCAGGGTTACAGTAATTGAATTCCCATCGAAATCTAATCCAAACGGTTTATATGTCAATGATATGTTTATACTATATAATATATTTGCATCAATAAAATCATGGGGTTTGAAGCTGAAATATGTTTGAACATTTTTTTGGAACAGGTGTTTATGGTGGGTTGAGCCCCATAAATTGTACATGATTTGTTTAAGGCCTTGTGATGTGGATTTCAACATGTTCTGCAGTTGTATGGGCAATAGGTTGGGACCCCGCTGACATTATTTGTTGTCTGTGTGTCAGTTGCAACATTTTTAGGAAATAATGCATCTATAAATGCAAGAAATTGAACAGGAATAGAGAGAGCCTTAACCAACGTCAAAAACATAACATAGGTTTCAAAAATACCCCCGAGAACTCCCATGTATATACATTTTGGGGCCATAGATTTAGACAACCACATGTCAACAAATCCAAGCCGCGATCGACTGTCACCATCCCATACTCTTGGATTTACTGGGCAAAACTGTTGTTATACTATGAAGCCCTCCCAACTAACTTGAAGCAGACCCTAGTCCAAGGGTTGGGCATCTAAAAATATCGTCAAATTTCCAAAGGCATTACACATATACGTATATATATATAGTTTTACATATTTGATCATATTTGAACATGTTTCTGTAAAAGTAAATTATATACATTAGTAATAACATATGTTTCATTCTTTTTCGGCGTAAGTATTTATGTTCAGTTCAGGAAAACAACACACATGCAGATTGCAAAAAACCCACCTTGCAAAAAAACCACCATGATGGACTTCTTGGATACAATCCCCTCCCAGCTGACTTGAACCAGGCACCCGGTGTTTAAAAAGGGATTGCAATGGGACCATTGCAAACAAAATACCCTCTGGTAAACTAACAGAACTATAGAAAATCACCATGTTTAATGGGAAAATCATGGAAAATCCACTATCATTGGATTTTCAATAGCTATGTTAAATTGATGATGGATGGTGAGTAAGGGCAAACGGGGAGGATTGGGAGGTAGCCTTGTGGACCTGTTGGACCTATATGTCCAGCGCTCATGGTCCACCAGGTTGAGGTCATTGATTCTTTTTTCAGGGGTCCAACCCCACAAGGGGATATACTTGCACACATACACACATAATAGATACAACATATATATATATATATATACTATTCATGTATGTATGTTATTTTCATATTGTAACAAACAAAACCCGCACACATGCATACAATATAAGACAGATGTTATCTCTTATATTCTAATATTATACCAAACAAAATCCGCACACATGCATACAATATAAGACGAATGTTATCTATTATATTCTAATATTGTACCAAACAAAACCTGCACACATGCATACCATATAAGAAAAAATGTATGCCTATGCATTCCCGCCCTGCTGAGCCGGCTCCAGTATACCCCATAGCCACTGTCACCGCCATGTGCCGTTTCGCCATCTCCAAAGTGTCGGCGACCGCGAAACCCGAACTGGTGCCTCGGCGTTCGAGATGGACAGGAGATTTATATTTGTTTTTTACCCATTGGATCCATGTATGGTATATATATATGCTAACATTTGGGGTATATTGATGGTAAATGTTACCATATATAGCATACATGGATCCCATGGGATAGATGAATATGATGAAAACCGCAAGATTTATACAGAAAAAAACATGGGATTTTTGACGATGATTTAAGATACAATAGGTAGATAGCTTTAAAACACACATCATAATCAGGATTTCTTGGGCCTTTTATAGGTGTCACATTTCCTGCAAGGGAATTGGTGATTCAATCACCCCCTTTGAAATATATCTGGGATGCTGGGAGCAACCCTTTCCACAGAGAGATAACTGACGTTATCATGTGGTTCTCATCCAGAAATGGGAGGTACCATAGGCTACCCTAAATGATGGCCTTTTCTTAATCTGGAAAATTAGGAACATGACAAAAACACAGGGATTTTTCATGGTTTGACACGGGAACGTGATGAGGAACCTGCGACAGAATGCGGTTCTCAGTTTTAGGGACAACTCCATATTCCCAGGTGTGGAGGTTACAAGAGCCTTGGTTGGTTTATTTGGGTGGCAGAGGCACAACCGACAATGTAATAGCAGGATATAGCAGGATATTGTCACTTGTTGTGCCGCCTCTAGTTCATCAGCTGGGTTTTTGCTGATCCAAGTGGCCCTCAATCAACCCGTGAAAATTGTTGAAGGCGTGCATTCACCCCATACGTTTTTCCGCAATGTACCAATACTCTCGGATTCATTTATCAATATAGATCCGGCCATAGCTTTCAGAGAAAGTACTTGAGGTATATGATTTGAGGGCCCAGCGGCCCAGGCGGTCTTTTCTCACAAACTATTTCGATCCATATGGTATCATTTTTTCAATCTATTGACTTATTGATTCAAAAATTGATCATGTATTGGCTATTGCTTGCTTGCTGATATGTTTTTTGGGGGCCTTACAATCGGGGACCCTCAAAACGATATTTTTCAACATTTGGTCTGACATGATTTGGGCTACCTCTGGTCTTCGGAAACCAGGTATTTGAAGATGTCGTAGCTTGGTGATCCCGGAGAAAAGCCAGGTGGTGTCCCAGTGAAGTTGGCTTATCTCTGGATGAAGTGTTGGGCTGATGGATGTTGATGGTATTTTTTTTTGAGGGGGAACATGTGCAACATAAATGCCGATGTTGATGGTAATAACTGAAGTTAATGGTAAGTTAATGTTGATGTTGATGATGATAACTGAAGTTGATTGTGGTTCTTATCCAACTTGAAACTGGGGGTCGCACCGCGCCTTGTATACATGGTGGTTTGAATAAACAGAAACCAGGATTGAACCAGCAAAACACATGGATTTCAACAGTACCTCATTAACAGAAATTGTGATTATGTGTCGTTTGAGATACCAATACTAGTTGGTGGTTTGACATGTTACTGTATATGTATATATATATATGCATATACGTTTTTTAACTACACCTTCTGGTAATTTTGCTACAGTTTGTTATGGAAATCACCTACAAAGTCTAAATCATCCAAGTCAATGGGGCATGGCTACCAGAGGGTATTCCCCGTTTATTAATTGATTTCCCAGCTATAATATAAAGCTCCATCTAGTTGGGGAATTGTCCCATAGTTTGTTGGTGAATCTACGATAACAATTGTCTCTTATTTGTGGGCTGGGATGGGTTAAAACCAGGTTTGGTGCGCATATAAATACATAGCACACAAATATGTGGGATATATTTGGTCAACATCATCTACACATATACATATATTCATAAACATCACATGTAATATGTGATGTAATTTCACCAGCCGCGCCTGAGGACATTCATGAAGGGCAAGAAGCCCTGCATCTGAAGGCGGGGAATGGATTTTTTGACCGGATCTTAATGGAATTTCATGGGATTTTTGCCGGGATTCGAATGACATTTTATTGGGATTCAAATGAAATTTAAACTGGATTAAATGGATTCTAATGGGACTCTAATGGTATTTGCTGAGGTATGTTCGGTTTTTTTTTGTGTATCTTGGCCATATCCAAGGCTGGGTCCGCAGGTTGATAATTGGGAAGATCCAAATGTGTGTAAATTGTGGACTGGGAACATGTTTGGAATCTTTGGATTACTCAACACATCAATAACTGATTGGTGGTTTGGAACATGAATGTTTTTTTTCCATATATTGGGAGTAGTAACCCCAACTGACTCATATTCTTTAGAGGGGTTGAAACCACCAACTAGATAAGAATTAAACATCCACATAGGTTTGATCATGTTTGATCGCTTTGGGGTAGTTCACATGGACCCAAAGAATTAGAAGACTCCAAGGTGCTTTTCCTGCTTTCCAGGTCTATGATCAGTCACTTCCTTATACCTGTTTGTTGTCCCATTCAGAAACCCAATTTGGAACCTAAGCGGGAACATCATTATAGTTACTGTATGAAGTGTGATGATGAAGAAGAAGATGATGATGATGATCATCATCATCATCACCATCATCATCACCATGATGGAACCATGTCCACCACCTAAAGGATCCTAAAGGCAAGAAATGGGAGCCCAGCCCCAGATTGAGAAGAAATTACTCATTTGGGGATGAACCTCCCAAAAAAAAACGGGGCGACAAGATGACATGATATCACCACTATTTGTATTACAAGGAGTTACTGAAATTGTGCGTAGCCACCCTTTCAATTGGACACCGCATTTTTGACTGGTTGAAGCAAACATGCGCGATGTACCAATTACCAATTTATGGCAGCTTTCACGGGTGAAACTAAGTTTTTACATTTTAAATCCCAATTTCTGGTGGGTAAATCCCTATGTTGATGCATGGGACTGCTGTAAGTTTGGGTCTCCTGCATCAGAAAAGAAGCTGAGGCAAGCGAGTCTGACGAGCTGGAGGTGATGCAGATTGGAACGCTGCAGGAGATTCAGGAGCCATTGGTGAGTTTGGTACAATCAACCAATCAACCAACCAACCAATGTTTCTCTCTCTCTCTCTCTCTCGCGCTCTCTCTCTCTCTCTCTCGTCTCTCTATTTACATATATACACGTGCACATGCATGTATATCATATATATATATGATTATATATGCATATATACAATATATATATAATGCACACACGCATGTTATTCTTGATCAACTACCTATATAGTCAACCACCTTGAGGCGGAGCGATGGTGAGGGAGATAGTTAAACACCAACAAACAACAAAACATGGTGAGAGACCCAGCAAGAGAAATGAATTCGTGAGTTGGTGCGTTTGCAAAAAAGGATTTGACCCAGGAACCAGGAACAATGGGGAACTAACTCGTATTAACCACCAACCTTGGCATATATGCCGTAAAGAACCGTAAGGTCGGTGAATAAAAACGCTGTCGTTATAGAGCAAAAAAATACCATGCCCAGCTAAGAATTAATTAGGGCTAACGCCCAGGTGCCACCGACCCCTTCTTTTTGTGGGGGCATGTCGGAGGCAACTGAAGTTGGTACCAACCATTCGTCATGCGGTTCTTGAGGAACCATTCGGGGGCTGCAATGGGGTGCCGGCACTTATATATAGCCGGCAATGGTCGAGTCATGTCAGTGATACTTCAGGTCCGGCAGTCTGGGAATGATTGAAGGTGAATGATGATGCAGTTTCGAAACCCTTGATAGATAACCCAGCAGCTTGGAAGACTTGAGAAGGTGGGGGTAAGGAGGCATTAGAATGTGCTAAGCGCAATCATCCAATAACCATCCCCGCCCCAAATCACTATACATGGGTGCTACAACAACCATCCCCAGTCATGGTAGGTTTATGGCATTGGGTTTCCCACAGCTGTTTTTGGCATGCGGCTGATACGGCGCCCTTGGAAGGGTTGTCGATTTTGAGATGTGCCATTTACGATCCCGTGGAAGGGTTGCAAATTTCAAAAATGAGGTTTTCCGAAATGGGGGTATAGGATTTGAAATTTTCGATTTTTTAACGTGTTGCACATGGAAGAGGCACAGGTTGCATATGTTGTCGTATGATCGTCAGGGGGGGGTGGGGGGGGATGTTAACGTTCGTGTCGAGCGCTTCCCTCACGGTACGGAAGAGGCACATGTTGCATTTGTTGTCGTATGATCGTCAGGGGGGGTGGGGGGGGATGTTAACGTTCGTATCGAGCACTTCCTTTACGTTACAGAAGAGGTTGCCGTTGCTGACATCTTGCATTGTCTGACGCGCTTTTTGCGGATTTCCTGCGTGAACCTATGTTGGTCGTGGTTGGATTTCCTCTAGAACCATTATTGCTGGAACTCAACAACTTGATGGAACTTGGAAACACTTAAAAAAATGGCGACCTCAATCCATGCTCCACAAAAGAAACAACAGGTGTACCAAAAACGGTACAGTTATGCTTACAGCTGGACTTGGCGTCACAACGCTGCCTTGTTACAGACTGTAGCATCAGCACTGCCACAAGCACTCTGGCACCGCTAACCTCGAACAGTGGAAAAAAAAGAGGATTGAATACCGCCTTGATTGATGTGATTTGGATGACTTAAAATCATAAAATTCTAATGTTTTTTTTTCACCCTTGAAGAGAAAAATCGAGTCACCGCGCAGGCGAAATTCAAATTTTCACCCTTGAGTCACACGCCTGCCAATCGAAATGAATGTCCATGTTGTACACATTTTTTGACGACTCCTGCAAATACCAGCATTTTCTCTCTTACCCTCAAAAATGACAATTTCAAATTCGTCACCCTTACAAGGGCGCCGAGTCAACCGGTTGCCTTGTTTTTGTGCAGGGAAGCCAGCATGGGATGATGCACCGTCACTATATAATCCTTTCCTTTGAACTCGGTCCAGGAGGTCGTGTCAACTGAATGTCCTAATGTTTGGCTGCTCGGAAACCACCGACCTTTGCGGCTACATTTTTGCATATTTGATCATAGTTCCACATATTTGCCTGTAAAGCGTCATTTCTACCAGCTTTTTTTGAGGGCTGTTGCAGGCCAGAGTCCCCACTGTTTGTTGTTGAAACACTCTTTATGATGAGTTGCCCCATTGCTTCGCGGGAAGGCCCGGATGCTATTTCAGAAACGACGCACGAAGAGCTTGGAAAAGGAACAGGAGCCTCTTGGACACAAGTGGAGCCGGAAATTTGGGCCCTGGAATTGCGAAACGCATGGACCAATTGATACAGGATGGTGATTGCAGTTATAAGTTGGTTTTATAAGCCCCATGAGCTATAGTTATCTATAGTTATATCAACCTACCATAAACCATAGAATTCAGCCACTTACAAGGCAACTTAGCTATCTCGGGGGCCCCATCCTGGAAGAAGTATACCTACATCTTCCCCAATGTGAGTAGTTTCTGCTTGGTTAAAAGGCGACTTTAGGGCCACTTTTTTGATGGTGGCAGAAATCCCTCAATGTTTTCAAGGCTAAATTTGCCAATCCAAAAACAAGGCAACCCTTTCACCAAATTCCCTCAGATGTATGGGTGAAACTGTGTTTAACTGTTTGAAAGAGCTCGCCAAAATGCAAAGAAACCGTTTGACAACAACATAAGGGCCGTTTTGGTTTAATCATTTTCCAAAGGCGATTTTGAAGACAAAGGGCTATTAGGAGAAATTCGTGCAGATTTTGCTGCCTTTCAGTTAAAGACCAAAAAAAAACGCGTACCTGGAAGTTCCAGGTATAAGAGCTCGAAAGTAGATCTAGGTACCTAGAGCTGGTGTAGGAATTATCCCGGCAAGAGCCCCCAAACAGTGCGCAGTTAGGATTCTAAAGGGAAAGGTGGAAAGGACCCAACAACATCAGTGGGTCCAAACTAGCACAAGAGCGACAATAGTAGCGCAGCATGGTGTTCATTCAAGGGGGTCTCTGGAAAAAGAGATACTGGGTTCGATTCTGCAAGTTCCTTGTAAACTTTGTGACGAACTCTGTAGAAGATCGTGCGCAAGATCTCCTTCACAGGTTCTCTGCAGAAGCTGCTGTGCAATATCCCTTTGTAAGGCTATTTGTACCATGTGTCTAAAAGAGGTCTCCACAGAAGATCTGTATAGTAAGATAGTCTCAAACTAACATCTCTGTTCAAGCTATCTATAAAAATCTCTGAGCAAGATATCTGTTCTCTCCACCAGGTCTCTGTACAAGATCTCTTGTCAAGATCTCTGCATAAGATCTCTATATGAGCTCTGTTAGGAAGATCCGTGTACAGATCTCAAGAAGGGGTCTCTTGGCAAGATGCCTGTAGAAGGTGTCTATAAGAGTCAAGAGGTGGAGAGTGATGACATCGTCGATGGCAGCGGCCACGGTGCTTAAACTCCTGGTGTGCCCTGGTGATCACCAGTATCAAGTGGTAGAAGGCTCATCGGGCGACATCTCCAATCCAAAGCCAGGTTTAACCAAGAAATTGATCAGCAATATTTTGGGTGTTTTTGCCATGAGTGATCAGGTTCCTATGCCTAGAGAGCTCTTGTAGAGAGCTTCTACGGGGATCTCATAAACAGATCTTGCTTGCCAAGAGACCAAAAGGGGAGCTTGTTGACTCGGTCCAGCAAACCAACGGCACAGGCAGTCACATTCACCTGATTATGTAAGAGACTTCTCGGCAAGATCTCTGCCACAGATCTTTATGGGATGTATCTGCACAAGATCTACATAAGAGGTGTCCGGGCAAGATCCCCGTACAAGATCTATTTAAGCAATATCTCTTGACGAGATCTCTGTAGAAGCTCTCTATGAGAGCTTTCTTGGCAAGATCTCTGTAAGGGACCTCTCGGCAAGATCTGGATGTCTCTTGGCAAGCTCTCTGCACAAGTTCCCTATACGATGTCTCTTGGCAAGATCTGATTCCGAAATCTCTGTAAGAGAAGATCTCTGTACAAGATCGCTTTAAGACGTCTCTTGGCAAGATCTCTGTACAAACTCTCTATAAGAGCTCTGTTGGCAAGATCTCTGTAAGAGACTTCTTGGCAAGATATCTGTACAAGGTGTCCATAAGAGCTTTCTGTACAAGATCTCTACAAAGGGTCTCCGTGGCAAGATCTCTGCGCAAGTTCTCTACAAAAGACCTCCTGGTCAAGATCCCTGCGCAAGATCTGCTTGACTCTCAAAATGAGCACTGCACCGCAGCAAGAGCGATCTGACACGCGCAAAGTGCCCAGAGAGTTGTGCGAGCGATCTCAAAATGCAAAATGAGCACCGCGCCTGCAGTGAGAGCGATCTGACAGGCCCAAAGTGCCGAGGACCGCGCAAGCGATCTCAAAATGAGCAACGCTCCACAACGAGAGCGATCTAACAGCCCCAAGGTGCTGAGAAGGTTGCGCGAGCGACCTCAAAAGGCGCACCGTGCCGCAACGAGAGCGATCCGACCGCGCCACACTTTGTGACTACTTGTACTTGAGGCTAGCTGAGCTATTTTAAGTAACATGAAGTTGCACTTGTAGTTCGATAAGTTGTTTAAGTAGGGCCTCCTAACTTACAAGTATGATAAGTTCAAGGCTCCTACCTGTTGAACTTAGAAGTAACTTAGCTACTTAAGCTACTTATGTTAAGGCTAAAGCGACATACGTATTTTCTACTTATTTCTACTTATTTTCTACTTATTTTTATACTTATTTTCTACTTATTTCTACTTATTTTCTGCGGTACTTATTTTTAGCTAATTTCTAACTAATTTTTAGCTAATTTTCAACTAATTTTAGCTATTTGCTACTTATTATTATACTTATCTTATAACTTCCATAAGTTCACATTAAGTAGCTCAGCTAGCCTCAAGTAGGAACTAGTCACAAAGCAACGAGAGCGATCTGAGAGGCCCAGGGTTGCGCGCGCGAGCGCGAAATTTGCACCTGGCCAGAACAGGAGCGATCTGGCAGGCTCGAAGACGAGAGGGTTGCGCGAGCCAGCGCAGAATTCGCACCGTGCCATTGGGAGCAATCTGAGAGGCCCAAAGTGACGTCCGGGGACGCCATTTCGATCGAGATTTCTGTCAAAAACGGACGATGAGGGAGCTTTTGGCGACAGGGATGCCAAGACCAAGTTGTGTGCGAGACTTCCTTTGAAATTTGTATAAGGATCACCAAAAATGCAGCGCACGTATGAAACCACCTTGAAGAACACCAGGCTTTAACTATTACCGTAAGAACCCCAAGTGTGGCCACACTGGACTGTTTGGAAAAAAATATTGATTTTCCATGGATGTACTGACTCACATTCCAAGGGGTTCATTGTAATTTCCTGTAATTATGCCGCGCTAGCCGCCGCAAGAAGGGAGCCCAAGCCAATAGGCAAGATTGTTTATTATATATATATATAAAATTCACATAATGCATATATAATATTTTATTATTATGAATAATCGCGAGGGCGAGCTAGCTAGGGTTTATGGTGGATTTTTCACTCCAGCCAGTTGAATGGGTGAACTATACAGCAGTTGGTGACTAAGAGACGCCCTCCTGTAGAGGAGGTCCCACTTAGACAATTTGATTACCAAATATGGCCCAACAACCATCAGGTTGCTGAACTTTTTGGCCCACTATGACTTCTCCGATGATGTCAACATGCCTCGAGTGGTCAAGAATGGTTGCTTTCTTTCCAAACCTCAGAAGGTGCGGGGTTTCGGGCTTTGAAAGCAAAAGAATGTGGGGCACACTTGATCAAATTTGTTCAGTTTTAAACCTTATGGCTCAAAATTCCTTCGACGTTACTTAGCCTCGCCAGAGTGCAGGGAAACAAACAAACAAACTTAGCTTCGCCAAGTAACTTTAATCATCGGTTTCTTGGGTGATGGTGACCATGTTTGATCCAAAATGAACAGTTAATCTGTGATTTGCGGATGTCCTGGTACCCAGACACAAGGTCTACCCTGTTCACATGGCGGCCGCGGCGGGAGACCACAAAATCCTTCGTTTGCTGCTGCGGGCGGGTGCCGACCCGAAGCAGAAGACATCCAAAGGTGCCCTTGGTGCTGTCCCAGCCGCTGGGGTAAAAGTTCGTCTCCAATGCCTCAATAGTAGAAGAAGAAGTAGTAGCAGCAGTAGTAGTAGTTGTAGTAGTAGTAGTTGTAGTAGTAGTAGTAGTTGTTGTTGGTGGTGGAGGTGGTGGTTGTTTGTTGTTGGTTGTTTTTTTTGTTGGTTGTTGGTTGTTGTTTGTTGTTTGGTGTTTGTTGTTTGTTGTTTGTTGTTTGTTGTTGTTCCCCAAAGTCATATTTGGCCCCGCCAAACTCATAAATAGATCCAAACTAATCAGTTAACTAAATAAGGTTTAGGATATTGCAAACCAATTGTTTCGGATTGAAATCCTGTTTGAAAGACTTTTGAGCGAATTGTATTGAATCAGGTAACTGCAGCCATCCACATGACTCATTTTGTGAGCAATTTGGGTGACAAACTAGTAGATGTTCACAGCATAGGTCAAAATAAAGTATGCGCAGAAAATAACAGGAGCCATAAGGAAACGAATGCAGGCACCTAAAGAAATCATCCAAAACAAATACTCACAACATCTTACAACACCTTAGTGGACTTGCTCAACATGTACATGTATGGTGTTTCAAATTACTTTGATGTTCTTTTCGCAGACAGAAGCCTTGCCGCCTGCCAATGAAAAAAACTTTTCTATGAATCTTTAAAAAGGCCCGACGCAGGCGCCACCCTTGAGCATTTGGATTGTCGCTCAAAGAACATTGTTTCCACCAATTTGAAAGCAATCTAAAGACTAGTCACTACCAATTTGCATTTGAGTTTTAGGGATATTTCATTTATTCATTTGTTTTAAAATTTTCATGTTTCATTTGTATATCTTACCTCGTTTCCAAGAAGACAGTGTTGTTTATTTCTTCAAAACAATGATCATTTATACAAACTTAATATCTCTCTATTTTTACTTCATGTTTTCCATTTTTCTTTGTTCATTTCTAATATGTTTGATTATATGTTTTTTGTTTTTTTATGTTTCCTTATTTCCGCGGGAATTCCTTAAATTCAAGGGCTGGCCTTGAATTTTAAGGAATTTCGACTTTTTCCCACGATTTTTCTAAATGAAATTCATTCAATGTTTTTTTTCGAAAAATCATAGTGGGCTTTGTTTTTTCAACGATTACTTTTTTTTTCGAAAATACGTTGAATTTCATTTTTTTGAAAAATAATCGTGGAAAAAAGACGAAATTCCTTAAATTCAAAGCCAGCCCTTGGATTTAGATTTCCGCGGGAATAAGGAGAACATTAAAAAACAAATGAAAAATAAATGAGAAAAAACAGTTAAACTAATAATGACATAAATAATAAAATTAAAAAACATATGTTGCTTTTGTTTGAATGTGTTACGTTTCTTTTTAAATGGCGTTCAGATTGATGGAGCGTTTTTTTTGGCGACGACCCAAACACTCAAAAGTGGCGCCTGCGGCGGGCCTTTTTTTAAAGATTCATTTCATTTTTTTTGGAGCAGCCGGCGGCGTTTATACCTGCAAAAAAACATTGAAAAAAACAGTATATAAAGATATGCAAAAACTAACACGAAATCCGGCCCGTGTCTCGAAATTAGTTACTTGCGCAACATTGCGCACCAATTTTTCAGCCGCACATTTGATTTGATGCAATTTGCATATTATGCATGCACCTTATTCTGGGGACAGACCTTAAATACAAGCCGCCACCTTATTTACGAGAGTTAACATGTAAATTTCAATGTGAAATCAAACTATCATTGTTGGCGCTATGAACTAGTTCACGTGTCACATCACCCAACTATGAAAGGGGTTTGAATAGATTTGAGATAACCTAAACTTGTCATCGGGAACAAACAGGAAATGCTACTTAGGATCAAGCTGCAACCATGCTGAAAAACACAAATATATGCTAACTCGCATACGTTTTACTTTGTTCCTATTCTTGTAGACTTTAAAGGATGAAGTCTTCTGCGGTTTTTCCAACATTGCACTAAGCCAAAGCTGCCTTGCTTCGCAAGGTGCAGATGCCTTGGAGATTGCACAGTATGCCAACAGGCGTGGCTCCCACGATCAAGTTGTTGCGCTGCTGACAACTGAAGTGTTTTGGCATTTTTTCGGCAGAAAGGAGAGCAGGAGGTACTGGGTTACTCTGGGATTTTTTTTTTTTCGTTCATGTTCATATATGTTCATATTATATATATATAGGGATGGATCAACAACTGATTTTTGGGGATGAATATCCACATGACACCATGAATATGGAAACATGATTTTCAACAACTATGTTAAATTACCAGATGGTATTAGATATATCTACCATAAACATCGATAAACCCCAACTTTCCTTTCTAGGGGGCACCACCTTGTATCCTTGTGAAATTAAATGTCACGTCAGAGTCACGTCGTGATTTCCCATTCGTGTTTTTTTTGGTTTGCGTTTGTTGAAACTTGTGGTCAATTATTTTGATTCCAGTAGACAAGTAGGCTCCCATACATTTGGGCAGTGTTCGAAGAAGCAATAAACACATGTTTTCGGTCCTGTCCTCTTATACCCAGGCATTATCATATCTTTAACACATTATCATATCTTTAACAACACATGTTTAAATAATGTCTTAACACAGATTACTGTCTTTTACTGTCAGCTATAGGCTATCGCCATTTATTTTAATGATCCGTCATTATGACATATTATGATACCATATATTGTCGTTTGTTGTCATGTATTGTCATGCAGTGTCACCACTATATCACCACGATATCCCGATATCACCATATCAAGCCATTTCACTCCATATCACTCTATATCAATCCATCTCAGTCCATTTCACTCCATATCACTCCGTATCAATCCATATCAACACATATCAACCCATTTCACCCCAAAGCACTCCGTATCAATCCATATCAACCCATGTCAACCCATTTCACTCCATATCACTCCGTACCAATCCATATCAACCCATGTCACTCCATATCAGTCCTCATCAATCCATATCATTCAATATCCATCCATACTTTGGAGGAGCCTTGAACTTAGACAACTTACAAGTTCATCGTAACATATGTTATAGCCTTCGTAACTTAGGTCATAACATCCATAAGTTCATCGTAACTTCTTGAGAAAAATGCTTACTTATAACATAGTTACGGAACTTAGATGCACAAGGGTTAAAAGTTACAAAGAACGTACGAAGAACTTAGGGAAGTTAAGTTTTTTGTGCAAAAAGTAGCAGAAGATGTGAAGAATGGAAAAAACAAGAGAAAAACACATGTTTTGTGAAGATTTTGGTTCAAGAAGAGATGGTAGCCTTGGAGAAGCAGGACGCTGCTGCCTTGGTGCAACAGATTTTGCGACGGTGGCGGCAAGAGCGGCCCTGAACGCACGACGTTCCGAGAGGAGTGGAGGCAAAAGGCATGGATTTCGCTTGACCGCGGCTGGACCGCGGTGGACCGCGGTGGACCGCGGTCTGTCAAGTAGGGTTTTCACTTGACCGCGGGCCTTGGCCGCGGAGCGCAAAAGCCGCTCTTGTGAGCGTGAACTTGACCACGGATGTCGACGGAAAAGGCATTTGGGCTCAATATATGGGCACACACTGTGGCCGCGGATGACCGCGGCCAAGACATCCCAAAACCTATCGAAACCCACTTGACCGCGGGATGTCACTTGAAACCCTAAATTCTGGTACTGGTCCAATGTCTGTTTCGTTCCTGCAGCATGTTGGCTCGCGCATCTCCGACATCTGGCCTTCCCTGTATATCCGTGGATCCACAATTTTGCAGCACATGTTGCAATCATATACACAAGTCCTTCTAAAAACCACTCAAAACCCTAAAATAGCCTGAAAAGAACAAAAACCTAAAAAAAACATACTAAAAGTTATGATGAACTTACGATGGACTTAACATAGCATCGTGATAAGTTCTTCATAAGTTCGTGCTAAGTACCATAAGTTCAAAGTTCCTCCAAAGTACCAGTAGTACCGCACAAGGCAGCGGCGGAAGTTTCAAAAATAGGAAACCTATAGGAGAGGTTGGTTGCTGTGAATCACAATCCACTGATGGACCGAAAGGTGGTTGGAGCTGTTTTTTTTCCTCCCGGGTGGTTGCAATGGTTGCAGTGGTCACCTGGTCGGTCACCTCACCCACAACTGCTGGATGTAGTGTGGTGTAGCGCAGCTGTAGTTGTAGTTGTAGTGTAGTGGAGTTGCAGTTGTGGTGTAGTGTAATTAGAGTAGCGCAGTTGCAGTTGCATTTGTGGTGGTGTAATGAATGTAATGTAATGTAAGGTTTATCTAAGTTCAAGATAGGTGCTTGATATCCAGCTATAAGATAGGTACGCTACGCTTGGTACGCTTGGTGCGCTTGGTACGGTACGCTTGGTGCGCTTGGTACGCTTGGTACGCTTTGGGTAGGTACGCTTGGTACGCTTAGTAAGGTACGTTTGGTACGCTTACCAACCGTACCGACCGTACCAGTGAACCGTACATAACCGTACCACCGTACCGTACCAGAGTAAGGGGGGGGTCAAGGGGGGGGCGTTTTGGATGTACCAATGCTAAAGTACGGTTGGTAAGCGTACCAAACGTACCTTACTAAGCGTACCAACCGTACCAACCGTACCGTACCACATGTACCAACCGTACCGTACCAAGAAAACCAAACCTACCAGCCGTACGTACCAGACATGTTTGGACCTTACTTAAGGCCTCTACCACCTATCTTGAACCTAGCTAATGTAAGGTAGTGTAGTGCAGTGTAGTGTAGTGAAGTGTAGTGGAATTGAGTGTAGTGTAGTTTGGTGTAGTGTAGTGTAGTGCAGTGTATATAGTATTATGTAGTGTAGATGTAGTTGTAGTTGTAGTTGTAGTTAATGTAATGTAGTGTAATGTAGTGTAATGTAGTGTAATGTAGTGTATTGTAGCGTAGTGTAGTGTAATGTAATTATATAGTGTAGTATAATGTAGTGTAGTGTAGTTGAAATTGCAGTTGTAGTGGTAGTTGTAGTTGTAGGTGTAGGAGTAGTGTAGCATCATTGAGTGTAGTGTAGTGTAGTGTAGTGTAGTGAAATTTGTGTAGTATGTAGCGTAGTGTAGCGTAATGTAGTTGTAGTTGCATGTGTAGTTGTATGTGTAGTTGTAGTTGTAGTTGCCGTTGTAGTTAGTGTAGTGTAGTGTAGCGTAGTGTAGCGTAGTGTAGCGTAGTGTAGCGTAGTGTAGCGTAGCGTAGTGTAGCGTAGCCTAGTGTAGTGTAGTGTAATTGAGTGTAGTGCAGTGGAGTGTAGTGTAATGTAGTGTAGTGTAGTGGAATGTAGTGTAGATGTAGTTGTAGTTGTAGCGTGGTGGAGGGTAATGTAGTGGTAATGTAGTGTAGTGTAGTGGTGGTGGTTGTAGTTGAAAATGCTACAAAACCCTCACGTTTTGCTCGCTTTTGACAAGGTGCGCAATCCCTTGCGCCTGCCACGCAAAACGACATCTGAACATCCAAAAATGCTCCGGACCCTTCACTTTTTTGCACTTTTGACTTGGAAATGTGCTTCGCGCCACAACGGCGTGCACTTTTTCGACATCACAACTTCCAAAAGTGGTCCGAACCTGGTGTGCTTTGTGCATTTTGACTTCGAAATGTGCTTCGCGCCACAACGGCGTGCAATTTTTCATCTCACATGTGGCCAGCTGGCTCCGCACCCGCCGCTTTAGCGAGCCTACTTTTCGACCCTCCGGAGCCACAAGTCATTGGAAAAACACAATGTTTCGCGACTTTCTTACCTTTTCGCGCACCTGGATCTTCTTTCTTCCGAGACTTTCTCTTTTTGAGCTTGCTTCTTCTCTTCTCTTCTCTTCTCTGACTCTTCCCATCTCTGCTTTTCATCTGTCCATATTGTCAGAAGTTTGACTTGTGATTTCAAAACTTCCTTCGATCAACCCATATCAACCCATTTCACTCCATATCCGTCCGCATCAATCTGTACCAACCCATATCAACCATATCAATTCATATCATTCCATATCAGTCCGTATCAATCCATATCAACCCATTTCACTCCATATCACTCCGTACCAATCCATATCAACTCATATCAACCCATTTCACTCCAAACACTCCATAACAATCCTTATCAATCCATATCAACCCATTTCACTCCATATCACTCCGTACCAATCCATATCAACTCATATCAACCCATTTCACTCCAAATCACTCCATAACAATCCTTATCAATCCATATCAACCCATTACACTCCACATCACTCCGTATCAATCCATATCAATCATTTTCAATCCGTATCAACCCATATCAACCCATTTCACTCCAAATCACTCCGTATCAATCCATATCAACCCATATCAATTCATATCAATCGCCTTATAACCCGTGGGCCCAACCTGTGCCTAATCTGGCGAAAACCAATTGCTGAGGTGAAACTCCTTAGCGCGCGCGAGGCCTTGAACCTAAAGGCCAGGGCGGCCAAGGGTGTTGGGTACCTCTTTGTTACCCCAACAATGGCGGGAAAGCAGCCCAACAGTAGGGGGGATATGATTGGCACATGATTGGGATATATATATTGGAATACATTGCCGTGCGGCATATAATTTAGTAATGGGAATATACTGGGACATATGGGTCGAACAGTTGCCTTCGTTCGATTTGATTGTACAGGCTGCTCAGGTAGTGAATAATATGCGTTTTTTGCATATGTGCCAGTAACCCGTGGAGACATGTCAAAACACGGTGGTTCTGATTTATAGAGGTGAACTCCACAAAAATGGGGCGTTAAGTCAGTCAGTACCCCATACTCCTAGATTTTATAGGAGGTTATTTTGATTAAAATTGTGGGTTTTATAGACGGGTGGGTGCGCTCCCCGTTTTATAACTATAAAGACTGGAAGTACAGAGTCATTAGTAATGACTTTGAAGGGGAATTGTTTTTTTAATGTTGTAGAAAGGAAAGAAATTGCAATGGCGAGACCGCAAAGAACAAACTAACCCATAGCAGGTGTAAAAAACACACAAAAAAAAAGAAAAACACTCTCAGGTTGTCCCCTTCTGTCTATTTTTGAGGGTTCGTTGTACAAATCCAAATTTACCTTGGTTCAACCAACATTGTTATACGGCCACTCTTTCCCACACCAAAGATGTACACAAAAAGGTGTTTCCCGGGCCCAGGTATAGGATCATGTCCGGAATAGCTGGCACCAGTGTGGTCCATCGAAAAATTGATAACACCGGTGGATGGTCCCAAAGATGTGGTGTCATCCCAGCGAAAAAAAAACATTGTTTCCGAGTGTTGAATATGTACGGGCTATGGAACTCTGGTAAACTAACATAGCTATTGAAAATGCTCATGTCTAGTTGATTTACCCACTAAACATGGTGATTTCCAGCTCGTTGTATTAGTTTACCAAAGGGTAAATATAATAGTTTCATGCTCTTCCCCGTCGCTCAAAGGCCACCATGCCGCGACATCCATTGGTCCATTCGGAGGTTGACAGCCGCAAGGTGTGGGTGGGGAGCTCGAGCAGCTCGAGCTGTTCTTGCACTGGAGTGAAGGAGACTGGGGAACTGATGGCAGGATTGACCCTATAGGTGGAGGTTTCTAGCTGGGAAAATCCCGGGAAATCATGAAAAAATCAACAGTAGGAATCATAAATGTAGATTTCTAGCTGAGAAAATCAACTGCAAATAGGAAATGTTCATTGCCACATTACCATATTTGATTACCAGAAGGTAGACCCTGACAATAAACATTATGTCCTGTTCTAAATGTTCAATTTCTTTTGCAGGTATCTGAGGATATACTTATAATTTACTTGCATTTATAAATAAATATATAGCCATGGCCACTGGCTTCCAAGACAAGCTGATTCGGTGATGCTTGTTAGTGCCAATTCAACGATTCGTTGCTCTCCAATCAATTATATACTGTAATATATAGGTATGAAAAGCCACCCATATACTGTAGTTTTTTTGGGAAACCATGATTTTTGCAGATCTATTCTTTCGTAATTTACTGACGGGTTATCCATATTTATCCATATTTTGGGGAAATAAGATGTTTTTCTTGTTGTCCTTGACGGGGGCCTGACGGGGTTTGAACCTGCTAAGATTTGAATCTATCCCTTCCAAGTAGCCATGAAAATGTCTCAAGGTCCCAACATGTCCCAACAGAATAGGTGTACTACGGCCTTTTTGCAGATATTTGTTTGAATTTAGATCAACACCTTTGGGCTTACACCGGCTCCTGGCGGTTTTGTAGGAGAAGCTGCCGCTCTCAAGGGACAGGCGCATAGAAATGCTGTGATTGCTGGAGGCTTCAAATGGATTTTGCGCGGAGAGCGTGACTTCCACAGCAAGCGGCTCGGACACCAGGTCCGAGTGGCCCTGGGACAGGCTGCTCTGCCACGGCTGATTGATTTTCGCTTGGCTTGAGGAGGTCAAGTCTGCAGCGATTTTTTGCATTGGGATTTTTTGCATTGGCTAAGCCTAAGCACTCTGGGTTGGCTGTCGGAGCCAGCTTTAACCCGACTTGGATGCAGCTATTTCCCATGATTTTCCGGAATGTATCAACCCCACCCCGGCTCATGGTCTACATGACATGATACATGGGCCTTTTTGATGTTACTCCATCTCTGGCTGTTGTTTCCTTGGCCATGAGGTGAACGGGGTCACTCCAGATGGGACTAGCTCACTAGTGTGATGGTGGGACAGAAGCCACCTTGATCAACAAGTTAAATCAAGTTGTGGTGAACATATTGACAACAAAAACACCATTACATAATATATACATGTATATCATAATATATTATGTTTTTTATTATATTATATTGTATTTAAACATATATTATTATATTTTGTTACATTATAATATATGTTATTTGTTTTATTTATTTTATATATATATATATATCACTAAAATACAATGCAACAGATCGATTATTGAATCCACATGTGATACATGAGCTGCAGCTCATGTGGATAGTACCGGAAGGCAGTTCAGTTGGATCGTCCCACTGAGCGAACGTGACCACTTGCAGTTGCTGGTTTCAGACTGATGGACTTGCTGCAACTTGCTCAAGAGATCCCTATCTTCTTAAAAGTGATTTTTTTCAGGAGGGGATCATACTGAAATGTCATGTTAAAATCATGTTAAAATCATGTTGTTTAATCATGGTTATCAATGATCAATATTCCTCGTCATTCCATGTCATTGGCAAGCACATGAAAATTCAATACTTGCGATCAGACTGCGGCAGCGCATGTTTAGGGGTGGCATCCCTGCAAAATTTGCGCTGCCGTCATCTGCCGTCATCATACTTGTGCTTAGCTCCTCTGGAGCTAAAGGAGGTATTTTCTAACTTGTCGCTAACTTAGGCTTCTCAACTTGTACCCAAGGAGTGTTAAAAAATGCATTTTACAATTCCATTGGCGGTTGGATCTATAGGGGTAGGGATATTCTGTCTTATTTGTGTCGGGCCACCGGGCCACAAATTCTTTCATTCCTCTGATGTTCAATCCCGCCGGCACCCAAAATCAAGGAGGTATCCAAAATAGGGGAAGATGTGGTTTTTGCTCAATTACAAAACATGAGATTGGGATCATGTCCTCCCAATTCTATCTTTCATGTTTTTTGGGATATGGTGAAACCGGCAACTGTGATTGATGAGATAGAGACTTGCAGAGACTCGTTGTCTGTCCGTCGGTCACTGCAAAAGCATCAAGGGGTGCAAGCTAACATGGGACCTGAATGGACCTGACTTGCACAAGAAATCAAGGTATGCCGATGAGCACAGTCAGAAGGTGCGATGATTTTACCTGGCTTCCCTTTCCGCTCTTCCCGGGATGATATGTTCCACCATCTTCAATGATCAATGGGTCTCCAGACTTGACAAATTCATGGTGTTCGCATGTCACGTACGACCTCCATGACATTCGAAGTATGTACCCACACAACTATGGGTTACAATGAAACTGTTAAACTTTATTTTTTATGTTTTTTGCTGGTCAAAGAAGCATCTAATGCATACATACGTATGTATTGTTTCAACGTGTTGCGATCGCTACATTGCGACTTGTTCTCCTGAGGCTGTTGTTGATCGGGTCTTTGGATGATACTGTGATTAAAAAAATGTACATCCTTATTATTCTTGGAAAGTGTCTGAAAAATCAAGTGGTGAAAGAAAACAACAACAATGGCACACAACAACACTAATTATATCATATATATATAGAGTGTATTTTACACTTTTTTGTGTGCGTTTCCCCCCTGAAAGAAAAAACAACAACAACAACAACAACAACAGCAACAGCAACAGCAACAGCAACAGCAACAGCAACATCAACAGCAACAACAACAGCAACAGCAACAACAAACAACAACAACAACAACAACAACACGTAACAAGTGTCTCTTTTGTGCCAAGCCATTGATCCTTAAGGTAACAAGGACATGAAAGCCGATCCTGATCTCAAGGTGGCCTGGCTGCAGTGGCAGGGCGGATCTAGAAATTAATTGTGTTGGCTTATTGAAAGTTGAAAGGCCATAGCACCAATACCATCAATTTCAGAGGAACTTGGTGCTTGATTAATCTGGTTTATAGATTCTCGATGTTCCATTCCTTTTTGGAAATGATACTCAATACGTTTTTCAATGGGTTTGAACCACCAACTAGGCTAGAAGTGATTGGCTGTTTGAAATTGGTATAGGCGATCTTTTACATATCAAATGGTTGTATGTATGGATAGCTTAGGTGTTTCAAGGCTGATTCAAACCAGCCCCCATGATGCCCATCGATCCCCTTGCTGCTAGGACATGGAGGCCCGTTTGGCAGCTTTCGAGAAGAGAAGTTGATCATCTTCTGAAAAGGCTCGCCTTTCGAGGCATCATTTGCACCACCATCAGGGCGAACACGATCCCTGTTTGGTGTGACGCTTGTGCCTTGAAGGGCGCGGATAATTTCAAAAATTTCTAAACATTGGCCGTGCCAAGTGCTTCTCCCAATGGGGCCTCTGCCAGATGAGTCCGGGGACCAAATTTGGGGGGATTTTGTGGGCATCCCGTGGCAAAACGACGGTGCCCTGTTCGATGGCAGCACCGGGGCCAAGGCGAACAAAAAAAGGGCCCAGTGGATTGTAGTACCCTTAGCATCCCTTAGTCAACCTCCAAAGATAAACAATCATACATTACCCTCAGCTCCATTGGTTGAACAATGCAAATGGCACCGTCGGGTAATGTTAAATATCCATGACGAATGCGTGTTTATACATATAAGTTTTGTCTGGTAGTCTCCGCAAGAGTTCAAAAACTGGTTGAGTCTTGTCTCGTTTTTTCCCACAGAGACTGCCAAAGCCTTTCCGCTCCGTCTGCTGCAAAATTCAATGCCCGCCACTGCTGCATGGACGCAGAACTGTGCATTCTGGAACCTGATCCGCAGCGGTGGCTGCACCCCGAAGCCGTAGTTTGTTTCAAAGAAGCGCGGCTTTTCTTCATGGGATCTGAGATGATCAACGGTAGATCATGATCATGCAAAAACCTTGGTGGGGTGACTAGCTACGTCCTTAGCATGGGATCTTGGGTTTGTTTGTTTCAAAAAAATGTTTGACATTTACAGTTTGACAGGCTGGCAGACCATAAAAGACTCAATTCTTAGTGACCAGGTTTGATACGGGAGCCCTTACAATTAAACCCAATGTCACCGTACACATATCAGATAATTAGATGCACTTATTATATTATAAACTTGTCAGATAATTAGTTGCATTAATATATATATATACTGAAAGCAGCGTTGTGAGCGCCCACGTTTTGGGCAGTCTCCTTTTGCCACTTTTCTCCATGAATCTACCCATCCAGAAAAAAAAATATGGCTGCACTTGTCACTTCAACATTGCATCTCCCACAGGCAAACCCCAAGAACAAAATTCCCTACACAAAATTAAACTCCATAACTGAAAACCGAAAAAACCAAAAAAAAACAAAAAAAAAACACAAAAAAAACAAAGATTCCAGAGAAAGGTTGGGGGGCTCATAGTTGCTGGATCTTTGTTTTTTTTGTTTTTTTTTGTTTTTTTCGGTTTTTGTTTTTTTTGGTGGTTTTGCTTATTGTACCGCCTGGCTATAGGGGTGGTTTTACCTTGAAAATGTTTTCTCCATATTTCCTGAACAGCAAGGCCTAATTTCCGATTTTCTGGAGGTGGTGGCTCTGTTTGTGTAATTTTCTTCTGAGCAAGGAATACCACCCTCTTTTCAAAGGAATGAACAAATATAATATATTGCATCCTTTTCAAGGAAACTTGCATAAAGGCATGCTGCACTGTGGTCTCTGAAAGAGCAACTGCTTATTGAAGAATACCCTTTCAAAATAATGCTATATTTCCTGCAAGGAACACTATACTTCTTCAAATGGCAATTCCATGCATTGCGCTTTATTATAGACACATCACCCTCTTTCAAAGGGATTGTTGTATATATGAAAGGGTTCCCTTTTGTACAACAACTTACTGTAAATCACACCATACTCAGCCATACTCTGTCACTAGGACTGCTGTGTGTCTTGAAGGCTACTTCTCAAAGAGATGCTACATACTTTTGAAAGGAAGATTGTGGGTAATTGTATATATATATAATTAATAATATCATACAATGAATTATGTTATTTGAAAATCATATTATATTTTCCAAATGAATAATATTTTTTTCGAAGTAATATGGCATAATACCGTTGTTTACAAATTAAGATTTCATGAAACCGTCAAGTATTGTCTGATAGGAATGCCGCTTTTCTGAAAAACACTAATGTATATGCATATTTTATCTTAAGGAAATACTACCCTTCTCTAAAAGGACTACTACCTCTATGGAAGAAATTACATATGTTCATTAAAATATATGGAAGACAGAACGCACTTGTTCTAAAGGAATGCTATGCACATCTCAGGGTCTTGCTTTACACTTTCTCAAAGGAATGTTGTTCCCTCTATAGAAGAATGTTGCATAGAGGCATGCCACAATTTCCTCAAGAAATGCCACATTCTTTCAAATTTTCAACGATGACTTATGAGAAGCATGCTGTGGCCCTTAGAATCTGAGTTGATGCTGTACTAGGGTTTAATAACACAATATTTTTCAAAGGAACAATATGCTTACCCTTGCAAAACATTCCATATCTCTTTCTGTAGGGAGCTCTGTCAGGAAGATGCAATGCTGCTTCGGGACAAAATGAAATATTCTGTCAATCAAAAGTGTTGTTTCCTCTTGTTCATGCTTGCTATAAAAACCTGCAACATAGAAGCAAACACACCCCTATCATTTGAGCATGGCGCAACAGGGCAAAATTGAATTTTCTTTCTGATATTCATTGGCTAAATGACATAGAACCGTTGATAGACAAACTGCAGCAGTGAGAACATGTCTTAAAACTGCTGGAAAAGGCAACAGTACATATTGCTTACAGACTTGGACACACATGTCAGAAAATGCTCAAAACATAGCATTTTTTACGAGATTTGTGGGCGCTGAGAGCGCTGGCCTCTCATATATACCACTTGATGGCGTCCAAATTGTAGTGACACCAGTACGAAGCCGAAGTTCCAGATGTTTTTTTGTGCTCAACCTTCCATGACGATCATATTGCACTTGGGGGTGCATCCCAGTTACGAACTGAGTAATGACCCTATATCATAAACTAGACATTGTACAGAAGATTCCCAGTAGGTTTCTGGATTCTCAGCCAGTTGTATTCTAAATGGGTTTCAGTTTTCCTTGTATTTTGATCTTATGAGTGTCAGGGTCCCCAGCTGCAGCTGTAGGTGCGTCTGTTGGACCCCTTCTATTCATGAAAAGATTAGCCCCCAAGATTGAACAAATGCCATAGTATAGGAATGTGTGTACATATGTTTTATAAAGAGTTATGTGTATATGTAAATGTATGTATGTACGTATTATATATATATACATACATGTGCGTGTGCGCGCGCACATGTGTACACACACCAATGTAGAGTAGCTTCAAAGCCTGTCCCTCACAGGCATTTTGGCTCAAACTGGTACAGTTGCATAGCACTGCTTTTTCTCAAAAGCGCTTCTTAAAATGACTGAAGTCCGAGGTACAGGCCCGGCATTCGTCATACAGTGACCCCATCCCGTTTTTTGAGGCAATATTCTTGGGGTTCCTGCTGGTGTTTTTTGTTTGTTCTACACACGCATTTTACAACCACATGTGTTTCTATACTTGCAGTATATATATATATATACTTTTTATGCATGGATGATATACCTTAGACTGACATTGTGTGTTTAATTGTGCTGCCAAGACCCTTCCAAACGGTCGATTGCAACCATGGGTATTGGGACAACACCCATCGGCGAAGGACCATGATTTGAGTACGGGTAAGCCTTGTGTGGATAATTTAGTATCAGTTGTTGAGCCATACATGTAGTAAATACAAGTAAATTTATTACAGATATCATATTTCTATTGCTAATATTAGTATATATAATATTCATATTTTGAGCCATAAATGTGGCGAATAGAATGTCAACTAAATCTTGGTTGTTTCCACCGTGTTCTTTTTCCAGATTTGCCATGTAATTTCAATTCAATTGACCCACCCTGAGAAGTGGCTGTCGTCGGTCATCACACGTGTCGCCCCAACTTATCTGTTTTTTTTCACGGAAGTTTAAGGAGGGTACCCCTTCAACAGTACCGCCCCCTGACAAATGGCTTAATCGGGCTAAAAACTCCTCAACACCTGAACTTCCGTGTTTTGAAAGGTTCGGGATTAACTCAGGATCAAATGGTAGGTTTGATTGAGAAAAGGAGGTAGGGTGGTCACCTAGATGAGTACAGTACTTGGTCATATGCTTTAGCACTTCTACATTTCCTTGAATGCCCTCCTGGTCTCACCTCTTTTAAGAGGACAGTTTTGGAAAATGATACGAAAGAATCCGACGTCACGCAATGTGTTGCCATCAAGTTTCGTGTCAATAGCAGAACATTTTAAAGGCCAATGTGTTTTAGAAAGCACCTGGCAGAGTTGTTTTTTGCCCTTGCTACTCAGATGGCAGCACTGCCCTCCATGCTGCCCTCGCATTCGCAGAACGCAGGTGGTATGCTGACACAAGCAGAGGAGGGCATGAAGTTGTTTGAAGCGCAGCAAGGAACAGCTGCAGAGGTGGGAATTCCACCAGGTAACCTTGGGGAGATTGGTTGGCCCAGATGCTCCCAGATGAACTGGAATCATTACCCTCTGGTAAACTAACATAGCTATGGAAAACCCCCTTTTTTAATAGGTAAATCAAGTATAAATGACCATTTTCAATAGCCATGTTAAATTACCAGAGAGTATTGCAATTATGGACATGATCTCCTGAGAAAAGTCCACATGTTCAAGTTATACCGAGTTCGCACCAAGTGCATACTCAAAACATCATAGATTATCATAGTCATAGATTAAAGCATGCGTTGATGGGCCTGGCCCCAAAAACGACCACCAGCTCATATCAAGGTGAGGCTCGCCAGTTATTTTTGATGGTTTATGTTCACACATCTAACTATAGATATACCTACATATACCTACCATAAATCTTAGTCAACCTACTTGTAAACCAGCTTAGCTAACTAGGGGGCATCGCACGGTAACTCCATGACCCACAAAAAAACTCCTTTGCCCATTGCGACCAAGTCATTTCTCCCAGCTTGAAGCTTAGACGTCTAAGCTTGATGTGGCAGTAACTGAGTTTATGGCTTTCTTTCGCCCTCCAATCACAATAGATACCATATGGGCAGCCCAAAAAATGCATCCAAGTGCAGGGATAGATGTTCTTGGAAACCCATCGGTTTTACATATTGT